TCCTGGAATAGATGGCGAGATACAACGCCTTTAGTGTCATGATTTGGAAAGGAACTCCCGAAGTTTGGTGATTGTGCTAGAGGTAGGAACAACTCCTGATGGTGTTCCAAATATTCTATTCGAAGGAAGTTACGAAGGCCTCAATAATGATTAAATAACTGGGTGGTCTTCATGCCCTGGTATGAGACACTACTGATGATTGAGAGGCCCTATCAATCATCTTCGAAGAGAACAAAGATCAGAGTATGTGGCGAATACAATTCGTCGCATCATAGATTTTCTCGACATATGATGACTGCTCCTCGTGGAACTCGTCCCTAGAAGAAGGGTAATGTCACGGACATAATCATGTAAGCTACTAATTACATATACAAATAGGTAGAAGTAAGTAAAAGTAGATAAAAGTAAGTAAATTCTATAGTATTTAATATGAAAGATTTCTAGAAGCTTCATAGACACTGCTTTGACTTCATAGGTGTCTTTAATTGACTTTTTGGATTAGAAACGTGGTCAACAAGTTGGCTACGTGCCACACATGTTGTTAGCTTGAAGATCAAGCTAACTATGTGGCCCACACGTAGAAGAACTTGCCTTTTAAGTCAAGGCATATGTCCTATAAAGTCAATACATATTGGAGGTCCTATAGAACGTCGCCACGTAGCCTCTTGTTAGATAGTATATATAGAGACAAGAGTGAAGGCTTCTTCACTCTTGTCAACTCCTTTCTTGCTTCTAATCTATTTTCAAGGGTCTCTAGTTTTCTTGTCTTTTGGCAATAGCCATTCCAGTTTCTCTTTCAATATATATCCTTGTTTATATATATTTTGTTACCTCTCTTTGAGTGAAGGCTCACTTGTCTGAATTTTTTTTTCATCGAGTTCTTGTCCTTGACAACATCACATGTGTTCAACTTGCAAGATACATGTCAAATTTATAGAGAAAGTTTTTTACATGTGTGCCACGTCACAAATTTATAATACAAGTAACTAAATATCTAATATATATCCAAGTTGTAAATATATTAATCATTTATAAAATCAAATAAAATTTAGAAATTTTCTTAGAAGTTTTTCAAGAAGATATTAATAATTCAACATACTTCTACTTAATTCAATCTAATTCCATTTTTCAAAGTAAATTTACTAATAAACATAGTTATCAATAAGAATAATGACTTGCAAAAATGAATGTATCACATCATATTTTAACATCAAAATTAAAATTAAATTATTTGGTTAGAAAAAAGTCTTAAAACCTCAAGGTTGTGCTTATACTTAATTATTTGAATTTAGAGACAATACACCCTCTACTGCTAGTTTCAATTCTTATATTACATCTTACCTTAGGTATGATCAATTATTAGTTTTTATAAAATTACTTTATTAATTCTTTAAAAAAAATCTTATTATTTACTTACTTGTGAGAAATGAAGAAAGGCCTTCTAAAATAGAGACATCAAACAATAAAAGCAATGTACCATCTTTTACTAAATTAGAGGTTGTTTCTTTGTTCAAATGCTACATGCTAAGTTTTTTTTCCTATAAAAATAAACAAAAAATCCTACTTGCATTTAAATTTTGACAAAGTAAATATATAAATAAATAAAAACTAATAGACAAAATTAAATAAGACCAAATCTACTTACAAAATCTAAGAAAAATTTGGCATAACTTCTTTTATTGACAAAAAATAGAGATTTCAAACAAATGAGTCCAAGAGACCTCTTTTTCTTTTTCTTAAGACCTAATATTGGTAGCCACATCTCCACATTTGAATTCCAATGAGTCCAAACTAAGACCCAAGACTCTAATTGATCCATGGACTAAAATCTAAGATTAAGATTGATCACTATATGATAAGCTCTAGAAATAATATTTTTAGCCAAATTAACTTTATCATTGTGTTTAAAACATTTCCTAATAAAATAATCACTATTCACATGTTCTAATTCATATAAATTTATAACCCTTACGAAAATTAAAAACATAATAATTTCAATTAAATTGACTTATATTTATTCATATATTACTTCCAACTTACTTCTAATTTATTTGTTTACATCTTTGTTAATATAATTAGATTTAAAAACTATATAATAAAAAAATAAGAATTTATATCAAATCAATTAATGACCTATTAATTATTCTTACATAATATATAAAAGAATAAATATGATCAAATAAATAAACCAAACTACAAAACATAATATGTTGCCCAAGTTACAAAGTCTATAATTAGGTTTATTTTCTAACATAATTGATAGCTTTATCACTTTTTAAATTTGATTTGACTCTTTGTAAGCATAACATTGCATATATATATATATATATATATATATATATTCTATAACAAAAATTATTATTATATTTTTTGAATTTTCTGAATTTTGAATTTTATATGATTATATATAAAAAATTTGTGATTTATAGTATATATTTTATTTATTAGAATATAAATATGTTTTATTATATATCAATAATATATATTTTTTGATAAAATGACTGTAATACAATTTTTATTAGTTATTCAAGAAAGGTGAAGATTTTTCTATTTATTCAAAAAAATTATAAAAAAACATTGAAGAAAATTTTAAATTTTAAAATATGTAAACTAAAATTATAATATTCTAAATTTTAAATTTCTTTATTTTAATTAAATTATTTTTTAGTAAACGGTTTTATTTTATTTTCAAATAGAATTAATGTCTATTTTTTTAACTTTAAAGATTCGGCCAATTAGAAAAATTATAAAAAAAATTTACTAACTTAATATAAGAAAATAATATATATATATATATATATATATATATATATACATATATGATTTTTTAAAAATAATTTATAAATAATGTAACAAAATATCTTCAAAAATATTGTATAAATTATTTTATTTATGTTTTCATTTTCTAATTTATATTTTATTCTTATCCTAGAAGAAGCCCATTTATCAAGCTTAATAAATTATAAACATTATGTATTCCATTATTTTTAGGTTCTACTTTTTGCATTTTATTTAGTTTTTTATCCATTTTTATGTATTTTTCTTCCTATTTTTCATGAAATAATAATAATAATAATAATAATAATAATAAAATTCTATAAATTTTATAAATTATAAATTTTAATTTTTTATGATTTTTTAACATAATTCATGATGTCAAATTTTATTACTTCTCAAATTTAAACACGGAGTGTGTCGAGCATGAGGATGTAGTGTTAAAAGCGGGACTAGTGTGAATAAGGAAACTCCACAAAGGGAGTTTTTTTAATCTAGCTTGAGGCTGCTGTATGAACGGGACTCGATATCACCGACGGAGCCCCTAACAGAGAATTCTGTCCATCTGGCATAAAGCTACAGTTCAAACTAGACTTGAAGGCACTAATGTTCTTTGAAGAGCACTTTGTCCATCACGTGGTTCATATTTTTGGGAGTGTGATATACCTGATTTGAAATGGTGCTATCAATCTCAACCAATCAGTGATTATTGTGATAAAAAACTAAAAATATATATATAAATATATATGTATATATATATATGATTCATTTAATTCCACTAATTTATTGATTTATCTTATTTTGATTGAATAGTATTTAGCATTGAAGATATTGTAAGTGTTAATTATATTGCTTAACAAAATTAAAAGGATTCCTTTTTCAATATAAAAATAATGCATATAAAAAACTAATTATTAAATAAAATATATTTAAGTTACTTTTTACATTTAAAAATATAAGAATAAGAGTAAATATTTAATAGCTGATTTTATGCTTGGAAAAAATCAAAATAAAAACATTTGAAGTAATTGATCAAGATGGTAAACATGGAGAGAAATTTAAAAGAAATAGAAAAATTATGCAATGGAGATTAAGAGCAAGTGGGAATATAAAAATTATTTGTTTACAAGTAGAAGCAATTTGTGAAGAAAAATATCTATTTTATTATAGAAAGAGGAACTTTTTTGATTTATATCAAAATATTGGAAGTATGAATAATATTGTGAATATTGTAAAGCATTAAATAAGAGTGATAAAAGATTAAAACAAAATTACAATATGATATTTATGATTTTAAATAATTCTTCTTAACAAATTCAAGTCGTTTTATTTTTTTTTCTATTTTTTAAAAAGTATAATATTTTTTATTATTAAAATTAAAAGATTAAAACTTATATAAATAAAGTTTAAGAACATGCTTGACCATACAATACAAGCCATATGTTTGCATCTACTTAAATATAAGACTAACAAATATTTCTAAAAACTATGTTCCTTTTTATTTTTGATTAATAGAGAGTTTTGACATCAGATTGGTATATTATTACTGAAAGTTGGTTTCATTTTGTGCAATTAAAAGTGTTGTTGTATTGGGCTACATATTTGAGATCATTCTTAACAAGATTGGTTTATGCATTATGTAATTTGATAGTGATTACACCCAATTGATGGGTTAGATATTCAAACCTATGTTCTCTTCACTTACAATAAGTATGTTTGAAGTTAATAATGCATAATTAACTCTATTTATGTTTCGTACATTTCTAAATGTATGTTGTTTTGCCTTGATCTATATATATATATATATATACACATACATATATTGTTGATGTTACTTAAAAATATGTATACTAAATAATTAATCCAATTAAATTCATTGATATTATCAATTTTATATAAGATACATAGAAAATTGTTAAATCAACTGAAGCATTTACTAAACTGACCCACCTATCTTATCTATCATCAAAAAATTCTTCATCATACAATTCTCCATTACTAGATCCATATTGATTGAAAACCAATGAAAAAATGGTTGGATTTGCAACCGATCTGGGTGGGTTGATTTAGTAAATGCATGGGTCAATTTAACAATTCCCTATACATTATCTTATTGATTTCTGAGGGCCAGAATTTGTCGCATTAGCACCACATTCGAAATGAGAATAGATGATAAAATGATACGTCGTCCATCCAGAATGGGACGCCGTAGCACAAGCCAAGTGTGCGCGAGGTTATGGATGAAACGGGCGCTTGGTGGCCGCGACTCTCGCGACTCCGCAATAAGCACCGCGACAAATCACCCCTCGTTGCCCTAAAATTTGTGTTGCCTGCGAAGTGCGCAATCTCACTTGCACTCTCACCGCAGGCACAAGTTCCGTTGGGGGCACATCGCGTGGGCTCGTAGCGGAGCTGCATCAATTAGACGCTGCTGCCTTTCCTTGAGCTTCCTCCATCACGTTTCAGGGTTGCCCGCAGGTACTGACCGCTTTTTCTCTTCTCGTTGCGATGCGCCTTTGATAGTGTGTTGGATTTCAAGGTCAATCCATGGATTCTCAGAGTTGGTTTGGTTTTTCTGAATTAGCTTCTTTGCTATTTCTGCTACGGGGAATTGTGAGAGTGGTAATTTTTTTTGAAAAAGCATTTGCAGTTGTGCTGCGGGTATGCTTCCCTCTTTGCGTAAGGGTGGTATTTCCTCACAACGCCGAACTCCACAACGTATCATATACGATTATTGATTCGGATTTTACGAACAATAATCTTGCATTTTAGGGTTCCTGACCTTCCCAGAACAGCGAGGGAAATCGTTGCGTGGTTTAGGGTTCAAGACTGAAAGTGGTAACCACTTCTTGAACATAGATAAATGCAACTCTAGGATTCAGCAGTCCGTAACTGAAATATACATAGCCAGCTTCATGTTAAGCCGAATGAATTCTATTCAGATTTGCTCATCACGAACATACTACACCATGTCCCCAAGCTTTATAATCCATTACGTTATCCTCAATCTATACTTTCGAAATTCGTATACGACGTCCGAACCGGCTTCTTGCTATCATTATTTTTTATAAGTGTACGAAGGCCTACATGATCCGAGGTAACCACTTTCAGCCCTTCTTCCGCAAACTTCATCTCCACGAACTGGCTTTCCGTACCCAAGCATTGTGATTTGGTGCTCCGCAGGCAAGGCAGTGATCTCTCCGTCCCCAGTTGTGGCAAATCTGTTTGGTCGCGCCACCTCCGCGTCCCGTGGTGCTTTGTGAGGTTGTCATGCATGGAAGGCATCGTGATTCTTGGCGTGAGAATCGGTTCGGGTGGGTGTTAGGTTTTCATGTCCGAGGTTGGCTTTCACGCGGGCAGCGCTTCGTATGTTGGAAACTGGAAGGACGGCCAAGTGATGATGTTAAGTAGAGGTCCAGATTCCGGCAAGCGCAAGCGTGTTGGATGAGTTGCAGGTTCCTATACGCGTATCGTTTCATGCGGGACAGTTGTTTCCGGATCGCTGAAACGGTGGGGAGAATGCGTAGGGTCGGATGTCGCGTATCGGCAACGTGCGGGAGAGAAGCAGAGAGCGAGAGAGAGAGAGAGAGAGAGAGAGAGAGAGAGAGAGAGAGAGAGTAGTTGGATGGTTGAAGCGGTTTTGGGAATGGTGGTAGATGGTGGTGTCGGCGTGTGTGAATGTCCTGCAGCGATGGGTATTTTTGAGGAACGGTTGTGGTGTTGTGGCGGTGTAGTATGTGGAGGATGCAGAGGCATGACTTTGTAGGAGTGGAAAGATGTGATCGTGTTGGTCGGATGCAGAGGCATGACTTTGTAGGAGTGGAAAGATGTGATCGTGTTGGTCGGATGCAGAGGCATGACTTTGTAGGAGTGGAAAGATGTGATCGTGTTGGTCGGATGCAGAGGCATGACTTTGTAGGAGTGGAAAGATGTGATCGTGTTGGTCGGATGCGGATGCGGATGCGGTGGTTGAGATTGGTGGAGTGGTGTGCAGGGTGAAGCGGGGGCGAGGGAGGGGGTGGTGAGAATGGCGTCGGTGGAGGACAGCCCCGGGAATGGAGCATCGAAGAAGAGGGTGGCGTCGCGGCAGATCACGAAGGACGACGACCCGGAGACGGAGGAGGAGGTGGCGGTGGAAGAGGGAGGGTCGTTCAAGAAGGCGCCGGAGGCGGTGCTGGCGAGCAGGCGAATTGTGAAGGTGCGGCGGTCGGGAAACATTGGCGCGCCTGCAGGGGGAGCGAACCCGTTCGCCTCGATCCGGCTGATACCTCCTCCGCAGGCCGCTGCGCAAGTCAGTGCAGAGGGCAGCGCAGAAGCGACTGGAAGCGGCGCAGACGGGGAGGTGGGAGCGTCCGGCGCCGAGGGAGGGCGCGCGGAGGAGAGCAAGCAGGATGGCGCAGAGGAGGGGTCGGCGGAAGGGGGTTCCGCGGCTGCTGCGGAAGCAGCATTGAAGGGGGCGGAGGGCGAGAGCGGCAGCGGAGTCGAAGGCACGAAGGTGTCGACGGAGGGTGGTGCGAGCAACGGAGTGTCGGCGGCGGCGGAGGCGGAGACGGGGGCAGAGGGGGCGACGGACGGGAAGGCAGGAGAGAGCGAGAGCGGGAGGGATACGAGCGCTCCGGCGGTGTCGAGCTCGGAGACGTTTCAGCAGCTGTCATCGGCGAAGAACGCATTTTCTGCGTCTTTCGGGACGGGGTTTTCGTCGCAGAGCACATCGGTGGGGAGCAGCGGGGCAGGGTTGGGAGGGTTTACGGGGGCGTCGGGAGGGTTTGGGTCGTTGGGAGGGTTCGCGGGGTCGACGGGCGGGTTCGGGTTGTTCGGGTCGTTCACGGGGGCAGCGGGCGGGTTGAGCTCGTTCGGGTCGTTGGCGGGTGGATCGGGGGGCGTGGGGTCTTTGGGGTCGCTGGGCGGGGGAGGTGGTGCGGCGAGTGCGGGGCGTGCGGGCGCAGGAGGAGGGGGAGCGGTGACGCTGCAGGAGGTGGCGCTGGAGACGGGGGAGGAGAAGGAGAAGGCGGTGTTCGGGGCGGACGCGTCGCTGTTCGAGTTCCACGAGGGCGGGTGGAAGGAGCGGGGCAAGGGGGAGATCAAGGTGAGCGTGCCGGAGGACGTACAGAGGAGGCCCCGGCTGGTGATGCGGTCGAAGGGGAACCTGAGGCTGCTGCTGAACGCGAACATATTTCCCGACATGAAGATCACGAAGATGGACAACAGGGGGGTGACATTCGTGTGCGCGAACTCGACGGGGGACGGGAGCGCGAAGGCGATGTTGACGACGTACGCGTTGAAGTTCAGGGATCCGCAGATCGCACGGGAGTTCATGTCGACGGTGGAGAGTCACAAGGGGGCGGCGAGGAGCGCGGAGCCCCGGACACCGGAGAGCTCGCCGAAAGCGGTGGACAGACCGGCGGCGGAGGCGCGCGAGGAGGGGAGCAAGGACGTGGAAGCGGGGACGGTGGGCGAGAAGGCGTGAGGGAGGGAGCGGAACGAAGGAAGGAAGGAAGGGGGAGGGGTGTGATTTTTCTTGGAAGGCCTGGTCCGCAACGGACGTAGGACGAGAAGAGGACCCGGAGGCGTGGGGGCGCGGGAGGGTCGGTGCGGGGACGTGGAGAGGCGTAGATAAGGCAGCGGAGGCGGAATAGGAATAGAGGGTGGCAAGGTGTAGGGTGGCAGGCATATTGTAGCGAGGGTGCGATAGAGGAGAAGACATTTTGTATTTTCAGTAATCGGCAGGCGTGAATGTCCCGACAGTGGGTTGAACGAACGATGTGAGCGTGAAGGGTTGGATGATGTGGTGCACAATGTGATGAGATTGAGTAGGACGGGACCAAGAGCCCATGATTTGGTGGCATAACACGGGTGGAATGTGGGGGTGGCATGTGTAGTGGTGGAGTTGTATGGGACCGAAACGATGGCGATGTGGTAGCTTTTGTGTTTGGTGTGGGCGTGGCGGAGTGCAGTGGGTGGAGGGAGTCGGCGAGCGGGAACGGAAGAGGCGTTGGTAGGTAGGAATGGCTTGGAATGGAATGGTGTGAAGGCAGTGGGATGTTATGCTTGGTTGAAATGTTGCAGATGGTGGTGGGCGGTGGGTGTGGGGACGGGGGTTTGTGAACGGGTAAGGCGTGACGTGATGTGCGCAGTGGGAGGGAGGGAGGGGGGGGGGGTGGCAGGTGAGATGAGAATGAGCGAGGAAGGATGGGGGTGTTTGTGTCGGTAACGAAGTGGTGCTGAGAGGTTATAGTTGGTTGGTAGGGTAGGTATTGTATGGCCGGGGAGAATGGGGTAAGTGGGTGGGTGGATGGATGGTGTGGAAGTGGAAGTGGTGACGGGTTTGGGGCATGAGGATGAGTGTGGAGTGGTATGGATGGTTATGATGGAATGGAATGGAATGGATATGATGTTTTTGAGTGTTGGCGTTGGCGATGTGGGTGGGCAGTTAGTCGGAATTGCGTGCATGTTTGTGAATGTGGCCATGACCTAGTGGATGTACTGGGGAGTGTGAGCATGGGGTTTGTGTTGTATGTGGGCGGGTTTCTTATGCATATTTTTTATGTGGTTTTGGTGGTGTAGTTTTGGATTTGATATTACGGTCAGATGGTCTGGTTATGTGAAGTCTGGTATACTGTGGCATGAAGGTTATAATTTATGGTCACATCAGGAGTGGAACGTAGAAGGAATTGGACGCCAATTGATCCGTGAAGGATGTGAGTTTTGGAACCTAAATTGGGGGTGCTGTATGACTTTTGCACAATGCAGTTGCGTCGATCAAAACGGATGGTATGCAAATGAGATGTGTACGCATAGTCGTGGAGTGGTGATTTTATTTTTTTTTTACTGATAAATGGTGTCATGTTAGGAATGTTGCAATTTTGTAAGTTAAGATGTTTAAAGTTGTATCTATGAAAATTAATTTCCGTTTGAGTCGAATAGTTGTTGTTGACTAAAGTATATGATTTTAAGTCAGGGTTTGGAACGAGATGTTGGAATGTTGGCATCACATTTTTGGTGTATATGTAACCAAAATTGTTGAATTAATGGTGTGTTCATGGATGCACGTTTTTAGTGGATGTAAATAGACGTATTTGTGTTTGAAACTTTGGTATTAGGAAATGTTTTGTATTTTTTTCCAGAGTGTTTTTGTTTTCTTCACTGATGATTGTTGAACATGTAATGCCCTGATTAGTTTGTCAAGTGTTTAAATGTTTTGTATTTATCACAACTTTCATATGTCTAGTGGTTCATAGATTTATAACCTAAAGTTTTTGTGTGTTGTAAAGGAAACCTCAGGAGTGGAGAGTTTTTGTTGTCAACTTACGTTTGTGGATCTCATACCTATGTGTTGTTGCTTTTGTGAAAATACCAATCAACATCTTACAAAATTTGGCAAGTTACATTAATATCACGATTTTTAAGAATAGGATTGTTTGGTTTCTTATTTTAGAGATGTTTCATGTCCTTTTTTTTTTGGATATAAAATATGGTACTTAATTTGAGTGTAAAAGGGATTTCTTGAGTTTGAATATAATGTATATTTGACAATACATTTTCAACTAATATGGTATTAAATGGAAGCTTGAGGTTATAATATACTTGTTTAATTTCAAAGAAATTAACTAATTGTTGCATAAATACTTGTATAGTCTTGAAATTCATAGCATGTGCTTATGTAGTGATTACATTCTTTTTAATTTGCTAATATTGTGTAGCACATTGTGTAGCATTGTTCTAATATTTATGGACTATTGGAAGTGGAGGAAGAAATTCATCAAATAATATTGATTGTTAATACCACTAGTCAAAAGTCAATTTTTAGGATATTTTATTTGTTAATGAATATCTTGTACTTTAAAAGATATAATTCTTCATATTTTGTGTTACATTGACCACAATTATTATATCAAAGTATGTTTTAATGTGTTGTTCTTATTTTACTTATTATATTGCATTAATTCCAAAATATAATTTTTTTGAATCAATTTTTGTAATGTGTTGAATAGTTATAGCTCTTATGTATTTATCTTAAAGATAACTAAATCCAAGTGATTCATTTAAACAATCTTTAAATATTCTACATATAATTTTAATAATTTGCAAAGAAAAACTTATAATTACAATTTTAACAAAGTCTTCTTTGATTTAACATTCATTCTTACTATCAAATATAAAATTTTATCAAATTTATCTACTTCATATATTTTTACCTATTCATATTATCTAAGTAATTATTGAATAAATATGTTTGTTTGTGATTTTATTCTCACTTCTAAGAATGAGTTCTACGAGGAGTAATAATCACATGTTGAAGAAGTTTAAGATGCAACAAATTGTATTTGCCACATACTTTAAACTTTGCTTCCTTTGAAGGTAGTTGATAGGTCCCTTTAGCCATTAATAGTATCTCCTACTAGGATGAGAAGACTACTATGATTTTTTTATTTATTTTTATTTTTTTATCTTTGTTGAGGCTTTTATAACTTTTTTCAAATAAAGTATTTGGAATACCATTATGAGTAGTTTTTATCTCCAAAAAATCACCAAATTTCAAGAATCTCTTCTAAAGTTGTGATACCAAATGCGTATTATTTTGCCATCTATTAAAAGAAGAACATGTCATTCTTGAGGGTCTTCATTTCTTTCACAACCTTCAAGAAGGTTGTGACAATAAAAATGTCTTGTTTGATAATTCAACAGATAATAGCACCACCTTGAGTTTGACTTCTTTAACATCAAAGTCTTAATTATTGTCTACTTCTATACAAGAAGGTCACATTTGTTTTCTTTCTATCATATCCAATGATTTATATGATTCAACAAAAGTTATTTAAAATATATGATGTATCTTCATAAATTCTATTAAATATAATTGACATGCAATTAGATTAATCTATTTTAAAATAAAAAATAGTTTAAGTCTATGATAATACAATTTATTACTAGAGCAACTAGTCTTTGTATTACAAGAAAGCCACCATATCTAATTGCTAACTTAAAATTGTAGTTATTCCTTATTATAAACATTTATATTAAACTTTTGTTGTATTTGAGCTTCTTTTCATTATGCCTTCATTATTGCATGTAAATCTAATAAACATTTTGTCAAATCTTTTGCTATAAGATTATTAACCTTTGTAAAATCAAAAGTATTAAATTATAGATGATAACCATAATTTGCATACAAGGGTGATTGTTGAATATATGAATGTATTATATTATTGTAGGTAAATTTTGCTAATAACAAAAGAGTTGTTCAATCATCTTTATGATGGTTTGTGGTGCATTTCAAATATTATTTCAATACTTGATTTATATATTTTATTTGTTTATTAGTTTGAAGATAAAAAGTTGAGGATGCTTTTATGTCCACCTTCAATAGCTTGAAAAGGATTCTCTAAAATCTTGATATAAATTAAGTTTTTTTATTAGATATAGTATCCCATAGTAATTCATGATAGCAATAAATATTGTTAAAAAAAACTTTAGTTCTTTCTTTACACATGATAGATTTTGTACATAATAAAAAATATTTTATTTTAGTGAAATAATCTACTATTACAAATATAAAAAATAAGTAATTAAGAACCAAAGATTCGTTATAAAATCTTTAGAAACAAAAGACCATAGTTTTTTTAGTATGGATAGAGGTTGAAGAAGTCCATATGATTGATGATGAAGAGTTTTTAATCTTGAAATAATATCACATTATTATACAAATTTTTTAATTACATTTTATATTTAAAGTAATTTAAAATCTTTTAAGATTAATTCTAAAGTCTTAATATATCTAAAATATCATGGATTTAAAAAGTTGTGATAAGCTTGAAGAGCTCATAAGAGCTTTTGGAACATATAAATGTCTTTTAAAGTAGAATAGATTATTCTCAAATTTAAACTTAATAATATCATAAAATTTAAAAGAAATATTCTTAATATTATAAATAAGAAGATTTGAAGAAATAATTGATTGGATTTGATAAGAAAGGTTGAATCAAAAATTTATATTGATTTTAATGCTCAAAGATAAAATTGCTCTAATTTCAAAAGAATAATTTGTTGATAAAGGAACTACATCTTTTTTTGGTGCAAGATAAGAATGTCCAAAGAAGGTATTTGAAAATCCTTATTATTTTTTTGAAAAATAAATGGTACTTAATTAAAATCTTTATAAGAATATGCTTCATTGGACTTGCTAATGATTCAAAATGAATATTAATATAAAATACTTGAGGTTTTTATGCTCTGTATAATTAATTAATAGATTAAAAGCATCTTCCAAATATTAATCCAAATCTTAAAATGAATCCTTAATGGCAAGAAGTTTTTTTTGTTATTGATCATATAATTAATCTCAAGTATTAGAATTATTTTTGAATAAAAAACTAATATGTGAAGTTTTTGATTTGTATCTATTTATGACATTATTGTTTCTAATGCAAAGTCTAATGCATATTTTGCCAAAAAAAAATGCTTTGAAAAATTTGATGTAATATAAGATTATTATAGAAATATAATTTTTTATTTAAGCTTCAAAATCTTTAAAATTTTTAGCTTCTTTATTTTACTTAAGTTCGTCTTTATAAGTCAAATGTTTAAATAGAATTTTAACTTGAAAAAAAATCTTGATAAAAATCGAATATCAATTAAAAATCCTTAATAAGCATTGGATATTTTTTATTGTTGTTAAAATCTATTCATTTATGATAGTTTACCTTTTTTAGGCCATCATTTGATATAATATGTTTTAAGAAGTCAACTTGAGTAGTATTAAATTCTTACTTTTCCATCTTGGTATATATTTCTACATCTTTTAGTTTGTGCAATATACAACAAATATGAAATTGATGTTTTTTGGTG